TAACTCTGAGATTGGTGATGATGCAAAAGCACCTGTATTTCATGCAGCACATCTTCTGGTAAAAACAGAGAAACAATATGTAATACAGTGGCATACCTGTGAAATAATAAGATTCATATCCTGAGATTCTAAATCTAAAAGAAAGGCATCATCAGTAAGGCTGTCAGAGTTTGAAACATTCAAATGATTCAATGATCTTGAACTTTTTAACAGATCCTGAAAAAATATCAAAATTACGTAAGAAGAGAGGATCAGTTGAAAATCAAAGTTATGAAATTTTTATATGTTGAAAAAAAAGTAACATGAGAGAATGAGAGAATCTAAAAAAATATGATGATAACCATTACAGTAGAGATCTACTATAGTGGAAGATGATGGAAGTGAGTTACCTGTACAATTTCATCTGTGATAGTTCTACAATCACTAATATCAACTGTTGTTAAATTTAACAATAATCCACCAAGAACACTAAATAATGCTGGCAACATTAACTGTTCACATCCACCTATATCAAATATCTCTAACAACTGGCACCTTTATAATACATAAGTTAAAATACATCAAATATACATTTTATTATGACTTAAAAGGGAAAGAGTAACTTGAAAATACCCTTTCTTAGGTATGGTATAGCCCGACCAGTTTCGCTCTTGATTGAACTCTTCAGGGGCATCTATGCACAAGTGAAAGCTTCACCTCTATTTTTGCTAAAGGTGGAGGCGTCCCAGGTCAGTTGCAGAAGCGAACTGCCTATGCGGAGGCGATTCAGGTCAAATGCGTAGGATGTCTCTGTCAATTGCGATAGCGTCTCGGGTCAATTGCAGAGGCGATCTACCAAAGTTGTTAGTTTTAGCCACCCAAAGTTCACCAAATTGATGCAGTACTAGCCTACACTGAGATGGAAAAGGGTCAAAACACAGTACAGTAATACAGTTTTTTTTGTGTTATTGAGTTTCAATGGGAAGAACTCTTTTATGAATTAGGTTAGTCGACCTGTTGATGCAACTAGGTGCAACGCCACCTGCAGGCAGAGTTAGTTGTTTAAAACAGATCCTCGAAAGTTGGTGACTCTAATACATCGATCTAGCTGGCGGGAAAGTCAGTCCCAATATGGACTATGGGATTCTTGTATGGAAATTTCCTACTGTCACTGGCCAACTTTATTTTACTTTACATTATATTATGATTAGTAATCAAAGCTTACAAAATTTATGGGATGAAAGACAAATTAAGGTATCTTAATGAATCTAAAGCGCTATACTAGACAGATGTTTCAATGTTACAATAATAATCCTTGCGATCAAGTGAATGGAATAAAATGGGAGTTCTGCTTCAGTTTTGACTTCTTCCATGCAATGTGCAGTCAGGAATTTTTACCAAGATCACAAAATTACCCTACTTTTTTTAAATTCCAACAGTTGAAATATCATAGAATAATATCTGCTCTGGAGCTAAGATAACAAATTTCATATATACCAATCTATTTTTCTGCCATTAGATTATATTGCCATCACCAAACATTTTTTATATCCAGTTGTAGTTTATGGTCCTAAAATTAGCCATAATATTTGCCATGATAATGTTGGTGTGTTGGGTAGTTTCAATTTCATACCAAACCCAGTATACTAGCGATATAAATTGTGAATCACTTAACTTACTTTTGTACAACTTTCAACAGATTGCATCCTGTTATTTGCTGACATTTCCCAAGTCTTAATTTCTTGCAAAGTTCCGGTATCAGAGTGAAGAGTAATTCATCAGTCAGGAATGAAGGGTAAAAGTTTATGATTCTTTCAAGTATTGATAAGGCTATGTCACCATAATCATCTGATAATAAGGTTTGAATTAAATAATTTCTACTATCTCCTTTGCCATCATCATATAGGTTTAATATAGCTTCACTGCAGATTATAGTAGCTATTGATTTTAGGCTTGATGGCTCCGACTTTGACATCTGAAATACATTTCACTGATTGTAAAATGCACTACTATGGAACAAATTTCATAAAGAACTTTGCAGATTTTTAATTATTAATAACACAAGATATATACAGTGGTGTAACCTATTTTCGTGCATATAAGGATTCAACACCGAATTTCGTCATGTCTTAGATGTTTCCTCAGATATTCTACAGTATAATTAAAATAGGTTTCTTTCAATTCTTTTTATGAATCCCTCACTTTGACCCATATTTCATGAGTAACCAAGATGACAACGGCAGCAAAATGAGTCACCTATTTTCGTGTACAATGTTTTATCTATAAATAAGTCGAGAAAAACATGTTGTATTGATACCGGGTGTTAAGAGTGAAGAAGTTTCTAAAAACTTCAATGTAAAGCACTGGCCAAGGTCACAAATAAAGAGATAAATGTTCAATACAAGATAAGGTGAAGTTAGCATAGTTAGTGTTAAGTTAAAAAAACAACCACGAGTAATCTACAATAAACAAAAGTCTATAATATGAAAGTTTTCTTGTTACCAGTTCTAAAAGAAAAGAGTATGAATAGGTTCTGAAAAGATAAACATCTATATATAAGGATTAGAATATATTATACTTAATGAGCTAGAAAATAGAGAGGGGGGTCAAGTATTATTGGATTCAATGGGATCGAGTCTACCACAGACCAGAAAATTACTAAGGTTTTTATTGTGCTTATAGGCAATTACAAGTCGTTTGGTATATACATTCGGAAATCTGTTCTGTTATTCACTGTAATACTGTTTGATGATGGATGAGGTTTTGGCAGCTGTATGATTAAAGGTGGCAACAAATGGAATCATTTGATTATCATGCTGGATATTAAGTCCATTTGGAGCCACTGTTTGGAGTTGGTCCATCCAGTAGCTTTCTCTCTGTAATCGTTTGGTTTTTGGTTTGATAAGATCAGAGTCAGGAATTGATTCAATAGGCATGATAAGAAGGTCTTCAATGGAATGGTCAGGTAAATTAAAATGATGAGAAATTGGTCTATTTTTGCTATGAATTATATCAAAGCGATAGCCGCTAAATCGCGTTCTGGGTCTCGTCGACGTATTGTTTGTCACATTTTTTACATGAAATTAGGTAAAATGATATTTTTATCCGTACACGTGAGACGTTCTTTAATTTCAAATATTTTTCCAGTTTTTTTATTTTGAAAATAATGAGACATATGAATATGTTCACAGGTGCAACACCGAGAACCTCTACATGGTATTGCGCCAAAGTTATTTATTGGAGGAGGGGATTCATTAATTTTCAAAAGGTCCAAAACAGTGTCATTTTTAATTTTGGACAAGAATCGTTTGGAATAGCCCCTCTCTCTTAATATACAGAAAACTAGTCTACAAGCTGCATCAAAATCTACTTTTTGAGTGCAAATTCTAAAATTGATTGATTATTCCAGTAAAAGTATGTTTTGGGTGAAAAGAATTTTTATATAAAAGTTGGTGGTACCAGGTGATATAATTAACTTCTCTTAGTATTTATCTTTAATATTGATTCATTATAACTTGTGACAATTCCTTCAAAGAACCATGACTTAAAAAAAAATAGTGACTGACAAAATAAGATATGTAGCGTGATTTATTGCTAAAAGTCATTGAAACAACATAAGAATACGGCCCACATTGTGTTCTATAGAATTTTTCTGCTGACACGGAATCCACTAGTTGATCACGTGACTTCATTCGTTGGACTACATTCTAGCAGACGACACTTGGAATTCCAATGACAGCTTGGGATTATAAGGAAATTCGGCTGCTAAAAAATGGTGACGTTTGGTAATAACTAAAATCCGCCATTTTGTATTTGTCAAAGTAAACATTAATACATTTTACTTTGCTTGAAACTACTGGATTCATTCTACTAGCTGACATTGTACAGAAAACCCATGTTTATCAAAACAAGCAAATGTGGAGTTACGCGAGGTCGCACATGTAAATTATTAATCCTTTCCAGAAATGCACGAAAAATAGGTTAGCACACAATTAGGTTACTTGACTGTATATCCATATATTTTGTATTATTCTTAATAATTAAAAATGTGTTAAGTCCTTAATGTTTACCTTCCTACTTCTATATGATTAGATTTTTAATTAGTTTATTTTAATCTTATTAGGGGAGGAAACTTCCTAGAAGAGGTAGAAACCACTGTGGAGGAACTTGTAAAGCCAAAGGGGGAAACCACTAGTCCTACAGGCATGTAGTGGTTTCCTCCCTTTACAAGTTCCTCCCTAGTGGTTTCCCCCCAGTGGTTTCAACCTCTTTTTAATCCTAGTGGTTTCCTCCCCTATTCTAAGTGGTTTCCTCCCTTAATTAACATATATAATAACATATATATAACATAACATATATATAATAA